AAACAAACAAAAACACAAGAAGTAACTGTTAGTGAGGATGTAGAGAAAAAGGAACCATCATGCACTGTTGGTGGGAATGCAAACTGACGCAGCCACTGTGGAAAACAGTGTGGACATTCCTTTAAAAATTAAAAACAGAATTCCCATCTAATCCAGTAATTCCACTTTTGTGTATTTACCCGAAGATTACGGAAACACTCATTTGAAAAGATACATGCACCCCTATGCTTACTGAATCATTATTTATAATAGCCAAATTATGGAAGCAACCCAAGTATCCATCCCAAGATGAAAGGCTAAAGAAAATATGGTGTGTCTGTGTACATATACATATGTATATACATATATAAGTGCAAAGGAATATTAGCCATAAAAATGACTGAAATCTTACCATTTGCCATACATAATACGGATGGAATTAGAATGTATTATGCTAAGTAAAGTAAGTCAGAGAAAGACAAATACCCTATGACTTCACTAATATGGACAACTTAAGAAGCAAAACAAATGAATAAAAAAAAAAAAAAGAACAAAAAAAGACTTTTTTTTTTTTTTTACATTTATTTATTTTGAAAGATGCGGGAGTGGAGGAAGTATGTCATTAGAGAACTGGTGTAGTGGAGGGATGGTGAAATAGATAAAGAGGATGAAGAGTACACATATCTTGGTGAGCACTGAGAATATATGTGTGGAATCGAATTACTCTGTGCACCAGAAAATATAACATTGTATGCTAATTAAACATCAATTTAAAAAATAAAAAATAAAATTCATATAATTTTCAGTTGTCAAAATATACTGAAAATTTCTCTTGCACCTGGCAGTGGAATGTGAAACTGATGTGCTACTTTGAAAAACAGTGCAGGAGGTTCCTCAAAAATTAAAATAAAATTAATTCTATGACCCAGCAATTGCACTACTAGGTATTTAAAAGTAAAGGATACAGGAATGCGATGGATTCATAGGAGGCTTACATGTGTACTCCCATGTTTACAGCAGCCCATCCACACAATAGCCAAATTATGGAAAGAGCCTAAAATGTCCATCAACCGATGAATTAAAGAAATTGTGGCTTATATACACAAATGGAATACTATCAAATGAAAAGAATGAAATCTGGGCCATTTACAACAACATGGATGGAACTGCAGGGTATTATGCTGTTAAATCAGAGAAAGAAGGTATCCTATGTTTTCACTCCTATTTGGAATTTGGAGAACTTAACAGAGAAGCTATTGGGGAATCAGAGGAAAGTGTTACAGAGAGGGAGGGCAAAACCATAAGAGACTCTTCAGAGAACAAACTGAGGGTTGATGGGGGTGGGGGGAGGAGGGGAAATACTGGGAGGAGGGCAATTTGTTAGGACGAAAGCACTTGGGTATTGTATGTAAGTGATGAATCATGCAAAATCTACACTGAAGCCAAGAGCACCGTGTATACGCTTGTATAAAAATAGCTAACTTAACAATATAAAGACTCCACCATGGGGAGGGGAAAGGGAAAAAAAAAAAAAGAGGGATGTAAACCATAAGAGACTCTTTAAAGACTGAGAATAAAGAAATCAGGGAGGGCTGAATGGGGGGGTGGTAGGGTGGGTAAGAGATGGGCATTGATGAGGGCACCATCATCACGGGTGATGAGCATTAAGTGTTGTGTATGGAAACCACCCTGACAATAAATTTTTCATATTAAAATAAATAAAGTCAAATAAATAAATAATCCCATTCATTAATTCATTTTTTAATTTTTATTAAAAGTAAAAAAAAACAAACTATAAAAAAATAATAAAAAACATGTATATATGTTATTTCTCAGCCTTAAAGTACTTAAATATGTTGAACTACTCTTAATTCACTACAAACATAGGTGCAGAGGTAGATCGGTAGCTATAGTCTGCAGAAGTAAGGAACTATTTAATATTATTTATCATGTGGACCATTTTCCAATGATTAACCTAATAGTATTATATATAGTAGACTAAAAAAAGCATTGAAAGCAGAGACAGAAGTTAATGAAGAAGAATAGAGGCATACCTGAGATAGTGCAGTTCCAGAACAATTCTCAGTAAAGTGAATTTTCTCACAATAAAGCCAACTCAGAAGAATTTTTGGTATTCCCAGTGCATATAAAGTTACATTTACTCCACACTGTGGTTATTTAGGGGCCTGCAATAATAGCATTATGTTTAAAAAAATACAGTGTACATACCTTGATTTAAAACACTTGACTGTTAAAACAATGCCAACTATCATCTGAGCTTCAAAGCAGCTAGAAAGCCCTGGGGATGGCTGCTGACTGGACAGGGTGGTGGCTGCAGAAAGTCAGATGGCTGCAAGGTGCCCTTAAAAATAAAACAACAGAATTTCATGCATCAACTGACTCTTTCCTTTCACAAAATCCCCTCTGCAGCATGCAGTGCCGTTTGAGGCATTTTGCCCACAGAACTTTCAAAATCTGAGTCAATCCTCCCAAACTCCTTGCTGCTGCTGCTGCTCCATCAACCTGGCTGATGATATTCTAGATCCTTCATGGTCATTTCAACAGTCTTCACCATCCTCACCCAGGAGTAGACATTCCCATCTCAGAAACCACCTTCTTTGCTCATCCATGAACAAGGCAACTCTCACCTGCTCATGCCACATATGACGCAGCAGTTCTGCTCTGTCCCATCATCAGGCCCCACTTCTGATCCTAGTTCTGCCATGCATCGGATGATTTCCTCGGTTCTTCTAACCCCTGCACGCCATCCAGAAAGACTGAACTAATCTTCCAAATTCTTAATAATGCTGGTATTTGGAGCTTTCCCCATGAATCATGAACGTTCCCCATGGCATCTAGGACGGTGACTCCTTCCCGGAAGGTTTTCACCTCCTGTATTTTCCAGATCCTACTCAGAGGAACCTGCCATTCATGCAGGTACAGAGCCTTAAGAAACGCTCTTTTTACTAATGATTTGCAGGTAGAACACTTCTTGATCTGGGTGAATGGATGTTCTGTTAGGAGACAGGAGACAACATGAATCTCTTTCAGTCAATCAAATCAGCATCAGAACTCTCAATCTAGACTACAGTGAATAAGTGACAATATTTTGAAAGGAATCGTTTCCATCTCTGCGCAGGCCTCAACCGTGGGCTGAAACACCTGAAGTGACCAAGCAGTAAGCAGATTCCCCTCCCCCACACCTCCACGCTGACTCGGGCCTTCCTCAAACCTCCCAAAACCACCTCCGCTCGCTTCAGACTCGTCCTCTGCAGGCTCCTCACCCCTCTCAGCCTTCACGGGACGGAAGAGGCTTCTCTGGGTTAGGCTTCTCGGAAGGGAAGGCTGCGGCCGGTTTCATCTTCTGTCCAGACCACTAAAACGTTCTCCGCATCAGCAAGAAAGCTCTTTGATTTTCTTATCCGTTGTGTGTTCACAGGAGTAGCGCTTTTAATTTCCTTCGGGAGCTTTTCCTTTGCTTCCACAACTTGGCTGTTTAGCGTAAGAAGTCTCAGCTTTCAACATGCTTCCCTCACTAAGGGAATCGTTTCTAGCTTTCAACTGAAAGTGAAAGGTGTGCAGCCCTTACTTTCAGCTGAACACTTAGAGACTACTGTAGGGTAACAAGTGGTCCTAATTTCCATATAGTTGTGTCTCTCATATAGGGAGGCCCAAGGAGACGGATCAGACAGGGAAAGAACAGGCCACCAGAGCAGTGAGCACACACCCAACATTTATTAAGTCTGCCATCTCATATGCACAGTTTATGGCACCCCAAAACGACCCTCAATAGTAACAAAAAGATCACTGATCACAAATCACTATAACAAACATAATAATGAAAAAGTCTGAAATATAGTGATAATTACCAAAATTGCCAAATAATCAATTTATAAAAATGCAGTATCTGCAAAGCGCAATAAAGCAAAGTACACCAGAAGTTATGCCTGTAAATAGAATCTAAATACCTAATTTAATCCCTTCTTTCTGATATACACCATCTATATAACACTTAATTCCTAAGTGGTGACTCAGTGGCTTAGTCGGTTAAGCATCTAACTCTTGATTTTGGCTCAGGTCATGATCTCATGGTTCATGAGACAGAGTCCTATATTGGGCTCTGTGCTGGATTCACTCTCTCCCTCTCTCTCTGTGCCCTTCCCCTGCTTGCGTGCAAGTGCTCTCTTTCAAAATAAATAAATAAAAACTAAAAAAAAAAAAAAAAAAAAAACACATCTTCAATACAACTTCATTTACTATGAAGAATAACAGTATCTACTTCAAACTGTTGATTTAAAATTAAATGAGATGATCCACGTATAATGGTTATCACAGTATTTACATAGGAGATGCTCAATAAAGATTAACCATATATATATGATGGCTAATTCAGATTAGGTCACAATGACAGTCCAAGAGATGACAATGACAAAACATAGATTGAAAGGGTAAAATTAACCAGATCAAAGCACACTAATCGAACAGAGGAGAAATGCAAAAATAGATCGAAATGGATATGAAAATTTAGTTTGCCATAAAAACATAAAGGTTATCATTTTTGTGAGGCATCCTTAAAGATGGAGGACAGGCCTTTAAAACATAAATTTGGGAGTATTGTGTGAATAGAGATGAAAGTTTTAAAATTTTGGATTAAACTTCCAGGACAAAACAGGAAAGTAAGAAGACTAAAGACAAAAGAATAAGGTGTGCAGCCCTTACTTTCAGCTGAACACTTAGAGACTACTTAGGGTAACAAGCTGTCCTAATTTCCACATAGGTGTGTCTCAGGAAATAGGGAGGCCAATAGGGAGGCTTAATTTAGGGAAGGGAGGAAGCAGAAGAATCACAAAAAGACATGTAAGAGTACCCTGAATAGAAGAATCGGTATAGCAATTCCTATCACAGAAGATAAATGCTAATGGGTGGGAAAGACCGAAATGGAAGTCATCTAAAAGAATCAAATTTAAATGCAATGTAATGACTTCATAAAAATCACTATTGAAGTTGAAAATTCTACTTACTGACACAGCTATCATGGTACTATCTGGCCTCCATTCAGCTTGTTTGTAGAATCCAAACTGAGAAGATGATTTTTCAGGTTCCTTGTAGGTTACAATTAACACACTAGGCTGGAAGGAAAGAGATTTATTTTATTATTATCCCATAAAAATACATACAAAACAAATTTAAGATAATTTATCATGGAGCACTCTGAAAATACTTTAGTAACTCTAAATGTGTATAAAAGATAACAATATTAAGTCATCAGCCCTAATTAGCCCAAATAAATCAACTAAAAAGAACCAAAAGAAAGACAATCTGTAAAGGACTACACACATTTAAGTTATTGAGTTGATTACTAATCACCTTCAAAAACAAAAAGAAACAGGCCCAGATGGGTTCACTGGTTAATTCTATCAAACATTTAGGAAATTACACAAATTCTCTACAACCTATTCCAGAAGACAGAAGCACAGAGAATACTTCCTAACTCTATAAGGTCAGAATTGGCCGAATAACTAAACCAAACAAAAATATTACAATAATGCAAAACAGCAGACCAAGATCTCTCATGAACACAGCTGAAAAATTATCAGCAAAACATTCGCAAATCTAATCTAACAGTGTTTAAAAAGAATTATACACAATGGTGCACCTGGGTGGCTCAGCCGGTTAAGCATTCGACTTTGGCTCAGGTCATGATCTCATGGTTCCTGAGTTGGAGGCCCATGTCGGACTCTGTGCTGACA